CGACGCTACACTCTCTGCACTACACATCTCACACTATACACAAGCACATGCTGCTCACTACATATCGAACACTTCACTCTTTATATCACATACTATACACACTCAACGACACACTCTCCGCAATATATATAACACACTACATACAACGACATTCTGCTCACTACATGTTCCGCACTATACACAACACCACACACTCCGCTCTACATATCACACACTGTACACAACGACACACTCTCCACAATATATATTACACACTGTACACAACGACACACTCTCCACAATACATATCACACACTATACACAACGACACACTCTCCACAATATATATCACACACTGTACACAACGAAACTTCACGCTTTATATCACATACTATACACACTCAACGACACACTCTCCGCAATATACATATATAACACACTACATACAACGACATTCTGCTCACTACATGTTCCGAACTATACACAACACCACACACTCCGCTCTACATATCACACACTGTACACAACGACACACTCTCCACAATATATATTACACACTGTACACAACGACACACTCTCCACAATACATATCACACACTGTACACAACGACACACTCTCCACAATATATATCACACACTGTACACAACGAAACACTCTCCACAATATATATCACACACTATACACAACGACACACTCTCCGCAATACATATAACGCACTATACGTCACTTCACGTCTATTAACTGCAGTCAATGGGGCAAACAGAAGTTTATATAAATAACCATACCATCTTTTATATCAGCAACAGCTGAGGCAGCACCTATTGCTAACTTTCTATTTTATTATTTATTTCTTATTTTATGTCTTATTGTAAATTGTATTATTTGTGATATATTGGCAATCAATTAAATATCTATTTATCTATCTATCTTATGTAGGTACTACTTTTCATCATCATCATCTCAGCCCGAAAGACGTCCACTGCTGAACAAAGCCCTCCACCAAAGATCTACTTTTATAACAAATAAATTTCATTTAATTCATAGAATTTCTATTGTATTTAATGCTCTTAGTATAGCTATTTATTGTAAAATAGATACAGAGAACCTAATAAACGTGTCAGCGACTGAGATATGGGACCAGTGGAGCAACACGAACAGCGCGTTCACACGGCGCATAGCAGAGACCATCGAGATCAAGAACAAACTGCAGCTCCATCTGCATAAGGTGACACCTGGCTGCGCTAATGGTTTACGCTGGCGGGGCACCAGTGGCAACTTTTAGAGCAGTGTTTCCCAACCTTTTTAGAGCCCTTTCTTTTTTTCTAAAGTTCTAACAAAAACCTTTCTAAAATTCTTATGTCCCCCCCCCCATTGTAACATATAAAATTTAGAAGTAACATAAAAAAATTGATTGTTACTTAAATTATGAAACAGTAAGTAAATTATGAAAACATGTAATGAAAAATTGTTTACATTCCATATAATTTTATTAGAGTCTATTTTCAAATTGAGATTGAGGTATGGGCCCCACTTTGGGAGACTGGTTTAGAGGGAAAAATATAAGTAATGAATAAGGAACAATTCTAGACCCAACAAGAGATCTTCGACGTGGAGAAGACTCTGGAGCTGCTGAACAAGGCGATAGAAGACAAACTGCAGCCAATGAAAGTGGCGCATACGCGGCTGCAGGCCAGGACCAACCGCCCCCATCTGGAGAAGTGCCGCGACGATGCCCACAACAGGTATTTGCTATCAACTGTTCTGTTATACTTTGACTCTGTTAGCTATAATGCTACCCTGGCGGTCACACCTTGCTGGTACATAATATACATAGAAAACACCCAGACTGATACAAACAATCATACTCATGAATATACATATATGTTACTATCGTACGAGGAATCGAACCTGCGAACATCGTAAAGCGGTGTTCTAAACCACCGAGGCCGTCACGCTTGTACGGATTGCCACAAACTTGTACACGGTGTTTGTGCCTAATTTACACTCAGCCCGAGTGGGCAGGGAAGTGAGCAGTGCGAGAGTGTAAACACGAGTGGAAACACTTCCCATGCCATTGGCGCTGCCACTCGCGCTGCCCGGCGCTCCCTTGATTGTCGGTTTTTCGTGCGCGAGTCAAAGGACTGGCAGCGCGAGTGGCAGCGTGTTTTTACATTCAGCCCTAAGCGATAGGGTTGTCGCCCGCCAATATTTCCGCCAGCGCGAGTGGTAGGGGAAGCGGCTGAATGTAAACGTAGCATTAGAAGATTTTTCGAAGGGATACGAAATAATATGAGGGGTTTTTTTTAAGATGATAATGGAATGGTGCCCTCGCCTGCGCTAACGGTTTACACTAGCGGGGCACCAATGGGGTATGATAAGATGAATATGAGGTCAGCTCAGTTAGCCCATCATGATAAATTCATCAGGAATTTATCACGATGGTTTCCAGGGGGAACCGCGTGGACAACCTGACATCGTACACGACTCCACATTACTAGCAATCCGCTGCCCCCCTAATACGAGGCGTGGTACACTGGCAGGCTGGTGAGGGAGGTGTGCGAGCTGCAGGACACGATGGAGCGGCTGCGGGCGCGGGCGGCGGCGGCGGAGGCCACGCACCAGGCGCTGGTGGGCGCGCGCGCCGCGCTCGAGGCCGACCTCCGCGCCAAGGCCGCCGCGCTCTTCATAGACCGCGACCAGTGCATGGGGCTGCGCAGGGGGTACCCCGTCACCGCCGCCATCAAGGCCTAGATTTTGGACTTCTACTCGCCGCTAGCCCGACATATCAACAATAAACCTGATACGATTTCATCAGTCTTTTATTTAAGTAGCTACTCTCTATCAAGCTGACATCCCAACAATATAGCTGATACAATATCATTAGTCTTGCTTTTTAAGTAGCTACTCTCCTCCACGCTTAACATCCCAACAATATACCTGATATAATACCATCAGTCTTTTATTTAAGTAGCTACTCTCCACCACGCTTTACATCCCAACAATATACCTGATACAATATCATCAGTCTTTTATTTAAGTAGTCTCCACCACGCTTTACATCCCAACAATATACCTGATACAATATCATCAGTTTTTTATTTAAGTAGCTACTCTCCACCACGCTTAACATCCCAACAATATACCTGATACAATATCATCAGTCTTTTATTTAAGTAGCTACTCTCCACCACGCTTAACATCCCAACAATATACCTGATACAATATCATCAGTCTTTTATTTAAGTAGCTACTCTCCACCACGCTTAACATCCCAACAATATACCTGATACAATATCATCAGTCTTTTATTTAAGTAGCTACTCTCCACCACGCTTAACATCCCAACAATATACCTGATACAATATCATCAGTCTTTTATTTAAGTAGCTACTCTCCACCACGCTTAACATCCCAACAATATACCTGATACAATATCATCAGTTTTTTATTTAAGTAACTACTCTCCACCACGCTTAACATCCCAACAATAAACCTTATGCAAACTCATCAATCTTTTATTAAAGTAATTACTCTCCAGTGTTCTTCAATTCTTTTAAAATTATGATGGTGTTCTAATGCCTCGTACCAAACACCAATAATTTCAACCATTACAGCACTCGTTATTTTTTTCATTCGACAATTTTTTTATTTATTAACATAACAATTAAATACTTAGAAGTATATTAATTACTGTCTGCTTAAAGCAAGATAGTTTTTTGCGCACATTCAGTTGTCTTTAAATACGATAATACCACAGGTAATATTAAGTAAAAGGTAAAGCAAATGAATAATAAATTATAAAAAATAACATGTTTATTCTAAAATAAGTTAACAGTTGATAAAAATTCAACACAATTACAGAATTACAGGAGTAATAAAAAACTATTTTTAATTCATGTCCACAAACAAGATATATATAAACTGATGTACACAATGTTGTCAAGCTGTCAAGTTACCTTTATTTTGAGACATTAATCGACTATTCTGCATAGTGTTTAGTTCACTGAAATATCATTTTTCTAATAAAAAAAACTACATAAATGCTATAACAATAATTTCACTGTTTAACATAGCTGGGCACAGGTAATTTCATACCCTGCTTAGCCTCAAAGAATGTATACGAGAGCACTATTTCATCCACATATTCCATCTTGGGGTCTTCTGTAAACTCTGGATCTATATAGAAAAATACTGGCATGTCCACCTGAAAGTAACAAAATGATGTTTAAGTTCACGGTTTCAGTGTTTAGCGGTTTAGCACATCGCATTTCTTCCGATGTTCTCGGGTTCGATTCTTTGTATTGTAGAAATATTGGTATTCATAAGTATAATTGTTTTTGTCGGTCTGGGTGTTTTCTATATGTATTAAATATTTATTGACAAAAAAAGTATTTATATCAGTTGTCTAGTAAGGTACAAACTCTGCTTAGCTTTATCTGAATGGCACTGTGTTAATTGTATTATCTTATGAACAATCTCCTCAGTCTTACAATTTTGTTTACATCTATATTTTTTAGTGTTACAAGTGCAATAAAGTATCATCATCATCATCATCATCATCATCATCTCAGCCCGTAATACATCCACAGTTGTACAACAGCCTTTGTTCAGCAATAAAGTATGAATGAATGAATGAAAGAATGAAAAACACTTTATTGTTCCTCTCACAGAAAGAGTAATTACATAAATTAATATGTACATTAAATATGAAAATAATAACAAAATAATTATAATATAGAGGTAACAATCGGCGGCCTTATCGCTAAATAGCGATTTCTTCCAGGCAACCTTAGGATGGAGAGGAGTGATTAGACTGTGTCTGGTCGAGGTATAACAATTCGTTGTTGGATGTACAATTTACATATCATATACACATACATATGACTACATAATAATCATTATGTATAAAATATACATACACACATATATATACATACATATATACATATAAATAAATTAAATAATATCTATACAATAGCGACGTTACTATGCAGATAAGTTTTGTGAATAATATTTTTTAACGCTCGATTTAAAAGTAGGCAGTGATGTCAATTTACGTATGGGAAGTGGCAGATCGTTCCATAGTCGGACAGCAAGTACCGTGAAGGACATGTCGTAAAAAGCAGTATGATGTACTGGTGTCTTTAACTGGAGATTCTCCGATGACCTAAGATTGGCGTTATTAGAGCTATGAAGGAAAACAAACCGCTCCTTCAGATAGTTAGGAGTTGAAGGGTTATAAAGGATATTATGGAGAAGGGAAAGAATGTGAGTATTCCGGCGAAAGCGAATAGGAAGCCACTTGAGTTTAGTGCGAAACTCGGAAACATGATCAAATTTTCGAAGACCGAAAATAAATCTTATAAGAGTATTTTGAAGTCGCTCAAGCTTATTAAGTTGGTCTTCTGTAAGATTAGAGTAACATGTATCGGCGTAATCAAGTATGGGATGAAGAAGAGATTGAGATAGCGTAATTTTGGTAGCAATGGGCAGGAAATTGCGCAACCTCCGTAATGACCCCAACGCTGCAAATATTTTCCTGCTAACTGCTTGAATTTGCGGTCTCCAATTAAAAAAGCTGTCAATATGAATGCCCAGGTTTTTGACAGAAGTACTGAAGGGAATTACTTCGTCATTCACTTTAATTTCAGCGATAGTCGACCAGTCGATCCTGTTAATTCTGGAGCTGCCTACTATAATGACTTGAGTTTTTGTAGCATTAATTGTTAATCCAAAAGCTTTACTCCAGTTTGTAATGTATGTCAAATCACTATTAACTACGGAAATAGCGTCATTGAAGTTTTCTAGTGGAGCCTGATAATAAATTTGTAAGTCGTCTGCATATAGATGGTAGGAAGAAGTTAGTAAGTTAGAAATTGAGTTTATAAAAACTGTGAAAAGTAAGGGAGATAAAACGCCACCTTGTGGAACACCGGCAAACGTATCACACCATGATGAAAATGTATCATCAATGCGGATTTGCTGCCGACGCCCAGACAAATAATTGTGAAACCATTCAACTACAGGTGGAGATATGTTAAGAGAGCGTAGCAATTCCTCGAGGATATCAAAATCTACGGTATTAAAGGCGTTACTAAAGTCAAGGAGTGTAAGGATAGTTAACTGACTTTTTTCCATACCTAGTCTGATATCGTCAGTGATTTTAACGAGAGCAGTTGTTGTACTGTGACCAGGTCGGAAACCAGACTGAAGAGGATTTATTAGGTTGTTTTCGTTAAGGAACGAGGTGAATTGGTTGTGAATCAAACGTTCAAGGACTTTGGAAAGGAAAGGTAGAATACAGATGGGACGGAAATCAGAATGAGATGCGGGATTGGCCTTTTTTGGAAGAGGGATTATTTGCGCTTCTTTCCAGATTTTAGGATAAACACTAGTTATTACGGAGTGATTAAGGATATGGCAAATAATTGATAGGATCTGATCGAGGATAGGAAGAATCATATTGCGACTGATACAGTCAACACCAACAGCGCTAGAGGAAATTGCCATAATGCTTTTCTTAACATCACACTCTGTGAATTGATTAAAAACGAAAGGAGAAAGTATATGAATTATTATTATCATGCCATCACTAAGATTGTTGTATTGCTCTGAGTGTTTGCCGTGTATATTGTGTATTGAAAAACGTTATTACAAGCATTTTCTAATTGACAAAATTATCAGTGCTTAGAAAATAATTAAAGTTAGAAATATACCTGTTCATGTGGGTTTAATTGCTGCTCCTCAAAACAAAAGCACTGTATTTTGTTGAAGTACTGCCCGGCTTCGAATGGTATCACATTGTATGTGCTGATGCCTGTCACTGGCTTGTCTGTAGGGTTGCGAGCGGTATAGAAAGCTAGGGCTGTCTCACCTGGCACCACCTGCAATAAACAGTAAAGACTTTATAATAAGCTTTTATACTTCAAGTAATGAACTTGAAGTATAAAAGCTTATTATAAATATATAAAAGCTTATTATAAATAACATTACTAAATTTTAATATATTTATTAGGTTTGCCAGCAGTTTCATCTGCACGAAATTTATATCCTATGTGTTATTCTGAGGTATAAATTATATTATTATAAAGTTTCATCAAAATCTATTCAGTAATTTTGCATGAAAGAGTAACAAACATCTAACAGAGCATGTAGAATAATTTTTTAAGTGTGTAGAACAATTTTGATTTTGTAATTGATCAAGTATTTATTATTTAATCCAAAACAAATAAAATATTTCTTAACCATTCTTCTCTTGCTAATATATAATGCTTTTATTAGGCTTTGCTCATCTTAGCAAATTCACCCGGAAATTGTTAAATTGTTTCCAGGGAAAACCACATTGAGGTTGAAATGATATAGTTAGCAAAAGACCCACTAGTTCTCATTACTAACAATCCTTTCCCCCTTCTCTATAATATTAGTGTAAATAAGTTTGCATTAGTGCAAAAGGTTGGTGCTGTGGTGGGTTTCTTTTGTGTTGAGATCATATGTGAGATATGTTAACTAATAAATAATATGTATGTTTGCAGAATTGTATTGCTTTTTAATATTTTTTTACAACAAAGTTAATCTGTATATGACAACTAAACTATTATTAAATCATAATCGATGAGGAGGTTGTATACACCTAACAGTTATTATAGAAATGATACTCACAGTAATATCACCTTGCTGCGGCTTAAAATTCCATTGCATAGAGGAAGCTACATCTGCATTGAATTTGATCTTCAGCGGTCTGTTCTTCATGGCAGTCATATTACTGATTGCATCATCTGCCTGGACGTGCCCAGTTGTACCGCCATAGCTGTATGCCTACAATGTAAGAAGTATTTATTTTAAGAACATTTGCAGTGTAGTGATAATAATCACCTACTATTACTCAAAATTATTTCTTAACATAGGTCTTCTGGTCTCTCATGTATATCTTGTTTTTTATCACTATCATTCACTTTGACTAGCTACTTCAGTTGAGAAGAACTGGTAAGTTTATTTTATGAATGGGCAAGGGCTACAACTCTACAAAGGGACTAAATAACTATAAGTGACTATATAAATTTGATCATAGATTAAAAGATAGTAAACTTAACTCCAAAAATACAGAGTATAGTAAAAATATATTGATACAATACACAAATTAAATTTTTTACTTCATTGAAAACTGTTTTATATCCCTATTTGTGTCACACTGCTGATAAAAGGCCTCCCTCTCACGTCTCTAAAGATCTATCCTGAGATTGATTATGTCATGTCATAATAGCAAAGATTATATTGGTACCCAATATGTCACAAGTTTGGACCACCTCTCAAAGGGCAACATGACTAGACTACTCTCATTTTAGCCCCCCGTTATTACATCAGTTATGGGAGTAATGGATATACTAACCTGACAAAATATCCTATACAATGGAACTGCTGCGTAGCTCAGACCTACAGTCATAACCCCGATGGCAACAACGTAGTTGAGAGTAGATCGAGCATTTCTCTTTTGGTCGTGTAATCCACGAATTATAACTACATCTCGTAAACTTTTATTTGGTGCCAATATTGAACCAGTAAGGTTATTTTTTAAAGTGTTAATATGGCCTCTACTTATGCTGATTAAACGATTCATTTCGATTTTATATCTATACTTATTATATTCATAAACTAAGAATAAATGATATCATTTTAATATTAAATTATTAATTCATAATATTTTATGCGATCAAAACATTCGTGAAATTCTAGATTCTCAAGTCATTTTCATTTGCGGTTTTGACAATTAATTGACTTTGACAAAATGACACTTCATTCAGACATTTGCAAAACTAGGATAAAAATGACGAGAATGTGAAAATAATAATAGTGATTAAAATTTTGCTTAATTGTGTGATTGTTTTGTTTTCCCAAGTGTGAATTATTATTAATCGCAAAAATATTTTATTTATATAATTGGAACATTGAATGTCATTAACTTGTGGTGATTATTTACTTAGCAGGATTTGGAGAGAGGAAGTCTCTATGGTAAAAGAATGTGGTTTTGGCGGTAATTTTAAAATAACTTTGGTAATTGTTTGCATTTGGGGTGTAAATTTAATTTCATAAATGCTGCTATTGTATGTACTTTAAACATTTTCCTTCCTAAACGGGCATACATTATTCATTACATTATAAAATATTTTAATTCATAAGTAAATGTCTATTTAGGAAGTGGAGCGGGTATGCTATAGAAAACGATATTTCGCGATTGTGAATATTTATGTTACAGTGGCACTCATTCCATATACGAAGAAAGAATATACATTTACTCTTTTTTCAATCTTAAGATCTACTACACAAGTGGAGTAGGAAATCTCGAATTAAAATTTGTATAGTTGATCACTTAATCAGTGTGGTATTTTTTTCCAAGAGAAAATCATAGATATTGTATCATAATTATGAAATTAAATATTTTAGTAATACTTGGAGGTTTCTAAAAATATTAATAAATTGTAGTTACGACTTATGATTGGTCTCTTCATTTAGGAGCTATGCCACAGACACGTCTAACTTATACCCCTCTTTTAGTCAAGGGGATTAAAATAAAACTAGTATAAATAAATTTACAATTAATTAACATTTTAATATCACAATTTTAATAATAATCTCTTACTGTCATACATCATCGTTTGTATTCTAACGACATAATTTTGTGTTTCGTCTTGATATGTGCATCGGTGTGGGTTTTTTGGTAAGCTTTGTAGGTGCAGTCGAGGAAGGGACACCGAAACATGGGCTCTTTGCCGCACTCGTACGTGATGTGCCGTCTGTATGTACTCTTATGTCTGTACTTCCGTTTGCATTTCTCACATTCGTAAGACATGTCATATCGGGACCAGTAGTTTTTTGTCTTCATTGGCACAACGGGCAACATGTTTTGCATCATTGTTTTAAAGAAATCCACTTCACCTGCAACAATGAGAGACACGTCTGAAAACTGAGGATTGTAATGACCGCATTATCTGCCTGTCATTTACTTTCCACTTAGCTATTGAAATATAATTATTAGTGCTTAATTTGATTCATGTAAGTCTAAATACAATTTAAATATTACAGGCTAGTCATAAACGGTATACCAAGCCTATAAATTATAGTCTTTATTTGTCCAAGAAGCAAGTAAAAAATTATGAAATAATAAAATATATATATAAACTGTGGAGTGTTTAAATATCCACTTTGCTTCTGTGTGTCAGAAAGGTTCATGAGTAATCTACCCGCATTATGGCGTGGTATACTTATTAATAACTACCCTCGTATATATATTTTTTATGGAATGAACAGGATACTTATTTAGAAACAAACCAGATTTAATTGAGAACATTTATTCACATGCATAATCCAATTTAAAAAGAACAAACCAAACACACTGCATATCACTGAAAAATAAAAAAATACACCAAACATAATAATATTTTGTGCCATTCTCACTGTATTGTATCGATCGCTTTTGTATAATATAATTCTATAGTAGTTGGTGAATATTTTGCAGTGTTTTGCTTTAAACTTATCTCTAAAATAAAAAACAATTTTTTTTTAAAATAATTCTGGGTATTCTCGGCCCTAATTTAATTTTTTTTTTTATAAGTCTGGGTAGTGTGCGCTTTAAGAAAAGACCCAGGTGTGGCACGAATAGAGGGCAGGTCGTGCCCATAATATGGTGTAAGCCAGTATCACATTTATATTATAATTTTAGCATGATATATTGGTAACAATTTTTTTTATGTTTTCTTAACACTACTAATGCCGAATATATTAATTTAACAGTGTTGATTCATGCTTTGCATCAAAAATATTTTTTTATAATTACATTACATTTTTAGAGATATGTTTAGAGAATAACACTGTTGAACATGGCAAGAAAAAGCTTACGTACCTATAAACATTTTTAACACTGGTTTATTAGAACAGCATGGGTGTATATAACAATATTAAAATATAATTTACATTGTAACTCTTCAATGCAATATAACCTTTAGACTTATGGAAATATTTTGTGCTATTTGTTTTTTTAATATATAGGTATAACACATATGTGTGTAGTGTTAACAATATAAAATATTAATTATTAATTTTAATCTAAATATAATATCAAAATAGGTACACTAGGCAATATTTATCATTATTATTTAAAAATAAAATTATTTTTGGTAACTTTTTCCAACATGTTACGTGCCAGTGTGCAGTATAGCACAGATTATGTAATAGTAATAATACTATTCTATTAATAAAAAAGTAAATTCAAGATGGCGTCGTGGATACCAAAGACAAATGTTTATTTGTAGTAGGTACAGCAGAAATAAAAATGAATAATTTGATCAATTGCGACGGCATGTACTGTAAGCTATAATTATGTAGAACCTTTTTCTAGGAGTAGATTAAAAATATATTTTGTATTATAAAATTGAGTTAACATAGTGAAGTTATAGATTGGTATAATTAAATTTTAACATGTTTGGAATTAACATTTTTTTATATAATAATGGCTATAACTTGATAAATAATTGAGTATTTAATGTTCATTATTTTTTAGTTTTAGCATAAAATATTATGAATTGATTCATTGGTAAATAAAATGAAGTGTTTATATATTATTAATCTGGCCTGAGTGTGACGTAGGCACATAAAAAATAACATATTTTTTGCCTTAAAGTTAATTATGAAATAACTATTATTTTCGAGCGAGATGTTGCTCCTTTCATATATAATTGTGTAGACGTGTATCTTACATGTATATTACCACAGTACTGGCTATACCATTCATATAAAAAGTAATCTGTGCCTATTTCAAGTAACTAGACTAAGTTCCCGCGAACAAATTATAAAGTATGGAAATAGACGACTTTCAGTCTTGAATAATTTGTATAATACTCATATAGTAACAGTTTATTACAAAATGGGAGACTCAAAAACTCTGAAAATAGGGTAAACATCATTTACCTGGTAAGATAGATTTACCAAGTCAACGATGCCTCTATCTGGGATACCATACTGTGTTATAGATTTTCTACAGACTTCAAAAAGGGGTTTACAATTTGACTGTTATATTTCGTAATTTTCGTCCTTCGATATTTAAAACTTTTTTAATTTGACAATTTAGACAGCCTAGTCTATCAACAACATCGAACTTGTATTTTTGAGTAATCTCTATCTTTACGTATATTGACGGCCTTGGCTCTAGCTTGCTTAGCATACCGCATCACTCGTTTATTAATCTTAATTTCAGGTCGTTCATATATCACCTACTTACAGCACCAAAATGACAAAATAGATCTTTATATATAAAAATTACGTGTCATGTTGTTTGTCCGCGATGGACTCCTAAGCTACTGAACCGATTGTAAATGACTGAATTGATTGACACATTGTGTGCAATTTGATCGAACTTGAAAGATAGGATAGCTTACATCTCAATTTATAGCGCAATATTATTTTATCCAAGACCCTTAGCCACAGCAACGTGTGGCCAGGTCTGCTGGTATATATTATATATGTATTGAGGTAATCAATTCAGTGATAATTCTGTGGCTGCAATAATATACATGCAAGTGCTATATCTTTTTACCATACACTTTTATGGTAAATCCTTACATTTTAGCTATTTTCGTGTGCGAGTTACTTCTTACATCTATGAAACAATTTTATAGAAACTGTGATATTATACTGTTCACATATAACAAATACTGAGATACTTTCTGACTGTACCTCTCACTTTATATATTAGTATAACAGCCTAGCAAGTACTTATAAATAAATAAGGCACAATATGGGCATTCATTAAATTATTTCTTACGTTACAGCATTTTACTAGTTTCTTCTTCAAGATATTATGTATTTTCCTTTGTTTGAAGTCACACAAAAACTTTAAAATAACATGGGTATACTCAAGTCTAAATAAAGACTTATCTTCTGGTAATAATAATTAAAATAGTACATAAGGCAGATAATTTATATTGGTAATGAACATAATAAAAAAATATATATAGAGATTTTAATATCACAGTGGTGGTAATGGTAATCAACGCATATCTTTATCTCCATCCATCGTCGGAAACCATCGTGATACATTACTGGTAAATTTGTCACGATGGGCTAACTGACCTGACCTCATGTTCATGTTATAATCCTCCACTGGTGCCCCGCCAGCGTAAACAGTTAGCGCAGGCAGGTGCACCATTCCATTATCATCCATAAAAAAGACCCTTCTTAAAAACCCCCATGTTATTGAGACAATAACAACAGATACAGAAAACCTCGTAGATATAATCATAACAAATAAAACCTACATATGGTTCTGTATAAATGAGTTGAGTTTGAAAATATTAGACACATTAAATTGTAAATTTTTTATAGCATGAGGGACAAACGAACTTGCGGCTCACCTGATGGTAAGATTACCATTATTATTAGACATAAAAGTCGGTAATGTCTAGTATTATACATATATATAAACAAAGCTGCCAGAATTGTGTAGAACTTGAGTTCACCCATGCCTTATAAATTGATATGTAGGTACAACACTGGTTATTTCAAATACAATGCATTGGATATAAAAACTATTATTACGACAATAGTGGATAGATAGTAAAATTTCACCTTAACTAGGTCGTTGGTGGGTCTCTCAGTTTACTTGTCTTAATAAAAATAACTATCCTACACTTAGATAAAACTTTACATAATAACACTCAACACATAAAAAGGTGTTT